AGAACTTCTTCCATAACAAATTTATTTCTTTTCATTATTTTTAAAATTTTTTGAAAAAGATCTCAAACATTTTTGCATAGATCACGCAGATGAGGAACAGGAAATAAGGAAATGGAACAGGCTCTTCACACACACACACACGCACACGCATATGCATGAGTGTGCTTCTATATGACTCCCAGATTTGGAGTGCCCTCAGCTGTGTGCTCCACTTCAGCCTTAGCTGGAGGCAGAGGCAGAGGCCGAACCAACAAAGATCTGAGCTTAGCCTAAAGTAAACAACGCGAGATGAATTTATGAGATCATGTTTGAAGTTAATTATGCCAGAGCATAAATTTCACGTCTCGGTCAGACAGACACACACACACTCGCACACACACGCACACACACACACACCAGGTTGCTGGTCGTGTGCTTGAGTGCAAATGTACTTCGTCTCCTCCATTTGTGGAGCTGTCGAGTTTGTTTTTTCGCTGTTATTGTTTTTTTTTGCACGTTTTAGCAATCATAATAGTTTTTATCTTAAAAGCCATAAGCATGTGCATAAAATATATACACAGAGCAAAACGAAAAACAAGCGTACGAACAACGTTGTCAAACTAGTTGCTAGACCTAGGTTAGTTCTTGGCTCAGACTGAGATAAAGTCTAAGCCATGGTTTTGAGACCTGTTTCTTGACTTAGATTCGTTTCATGTTTATGGTGCTTGGGCCAGAAGACAGAACCCCAGTTCTGGGGCCCGAGCCCCACTTGGGGCCAGCCAAACAACAAAGCGTCTGTCCCAAAGTCCGAGCGTTTGTTGTTTACGAACAAGAAGTTTTACGGCAATGGATGTGGTTTGTGGTTTAACTGCTTTTATGGTAACAGAAATAAGCCAAAAACAAAAGAGCCGTCAAAAGCCCTCGACTAGCAAATACCCTATAAAATTTTAATTCTGTAGACTATTTAGAGCTTTAAGATGCTTAAGCCAAGATATTTTTATTGGATGCAGACAAATTTTTATTTCACTATTATATAGAGTGTATGAAGCTAATATTTGATTTAGTATACGGATTTCATGTATGAATGCATATAAATTATTAGTTAAAGTTAAAAAAGTGTTCACATACTGAGTTTAATCATTGTAGCTTCTATAGTTCTCAAGTTACTTCAGTTAGGTTTAGCTTCGACTCTATTTTGTTATGGGAAATATCTTCAATTATGAATCAAATCATATTTAGAGTGCACATATCAAATTTAGTGGCTGTAGCGTTAGCAGTTTTTGAGTTTCTAGAGTTGGGATTTGTTTTCTGTACAATGTCAGAGAAGAATGTTAAAGAAAGATTAATTACATGTCATATAGAGCTCACATATCAAATTTAGTGAATGTAACTTTTACAGTTGATGAGTTACTTGAGTTAGGAGAAAGTTTCTATTGAAATTGATGGATCTGTTTAGCAAAATTATAATTAAAACTATATTAAGAGTGTGCATACAAAATTTACTCTATGTTGGTCAGCAAACTCTTGAGTTCCTTGAGTTAGGATATGCTTGCAGTTGCAGTTTGCGCTTGCAATTAGGAAAATACTTTATTAAAATATTAACAGAGTTCATATATCAAATTTTGTATGCCTAGCTCTTATAGTTGCTGAGTTCTTTGAGTTAGGATTGGCTTGTTTTCTTATTTGAAAGAGTTACTTAATGTAATTTATTGCTGCAATTTGATTTCATATATGTGTATTTGATTTGCTGATTGTTGGTTTTGTAGTTCTTGAGTTTCTTAAGTTGCCCTCACACCTTAGCTTATAGATGAACATCATGATTTTACACATTCGTTATCTATAGATGCCCAGTACACATAGCACATATTCTAGCTTTGTTTATTGTAGTCTCTGAGTTGCTTGAGGTTGTTATTCTAAGTCACAATATGCTGTTGTTTCAGATTTTGATTAGCTACAGGGTATTCAAATACAAAAATAAAAAATAAAATTAATAAAAAAAAAAAATAAAAATCGACAACAACAAGAGGCAGCAGGCAACAGGCAACAACTTTGGTTAAAAAGTCATCAAAGACCAAGACGTCAACAACAACAACAATAACAACGCGAAGCAGTCACGATGTTGGGTTGGTCGGTCAGACGTTTGGTTGTTTGGTCGGTTGTTGGTTGGGCTGTTTGGTTGTTTTCGTTGTTTTTGTTGTTTTGGTTAACTTGCAAACCAGTTTGGGCTTCAGGTCTAAACTTTATTTACAATATTGTTTTCTTTTACGACGTCGCTGCTGACTGCGATTTCGCTGCTGCCATTGTTGTTGTTGTTGTTGTTGTTGTTGCGGTTTTGACCCAAGCTCCTTTTTGTAATAAAGAAACTGGTATAGCAACTAGCCCGTACTTAAGCCAACTACAGTCCCTCCACAGCTGCTCACGACAATGTGGCCAATTTTTGATGCACATCTCAAAGCCCCGCACCGAGGTCCCTCTCCCACGTCTTTTCTAAGACGCCGAACCATAGCATTGGTCTTTGGGTGTTGATTGGTCCCGTGCGGTTTATCAATCATTAACAGACACCGTCTGGAGCGGAGTCGAGGCGACTCAAGCATATAGCCCATAAAAAAGCGTTGCCTAAATGCCCGACTCGGCCTCTAAAAGGCCATCACATTATACAGATGCCGTCTTTCAGATTTACAAATGGAGCTACATAAAAAAAGAAAACTTGGAAGAAAAATACTGAAATTTTCGTATGGTCATAACATTTTATTGTTGACCTGAGTTAGCAACGTCGAGCCGAGCGCAATTTGCCGGCTTATTTGATTAGATACTTCAGACCGGTGCTGCAGGCAATACGAGATTTTCCCTTACTTCCCTTTTTATTGAGGAAAATCTTTAAACTGTTAGAGTGGGTGTTCTTTGGCTTTAGATAAAATATACTAAAAATTCGTAAATAAGCGTTTATTGTAAATAACTATTTTTAATTAATAATATTATAATTTGTGAAGGCTTAAAAAAAGATTTTAAATAGATAATAGTATTATATTAGGAATATGTTAGATTAAACATATTCGTATTTTTTATGAATCAAATTAGAACAGAGGAAAACCACTTTAATATTATATATCTATCTCATATGATATGATGCTTTTAAAACATTAGTCTATTAGAATGTTTCCAAGTTTTTAAATAAATATTCGCATTTTAGGTTGAAATTTTAAACTTTAAAAATCAATTTCTAAATCCTAAAATTACATTTTAAAATGTTTAAAAATTTTGCATTATAAATATTTAAGTAAATTAAATAAAAAATGCAAAGAATTATATTTATATGAAATTAATTTTATATATATGTGTTCTATCTAGCTATTCTACCTGAAGTTCAGTTTGGTACGTTCTTAGACTACAATCGTATATTCATATAAACTTCATCATATATCACAGTTTATCTAAATACTTAAGATCAAGTTGCTATAACTAATATAAATAAATAATTATATCTCTTAATAGTTTTCACTATTCTTACTTATAGTCAAACTCAAAGATACTTATAGATAGACTTCATTCAGATCTCTCTTCTTTTTCTTCCATTTTCCCAACTTTTTCTTTACCTCTTTAAGAAGTGTTCTTTAAGAGAAAGTATTGATGGAGCCAAGTTCTGCGGTAACAGGATCTTGGTCAGAGCCAATATTATATTCGAGAAACAGCAGCAGAATGTCAATAGCTAAGCCAAAGTGAATACAAGTAGGGGTCGAGAGAGGGCACATAATTTGCTTTGCTTGGTTTTTGCTACGTTTTGGTATTTTTATTACAATTTGCGTTAGTTAGTTTGCTGCGACAAGGATAAACAGGACGGAAGTCTGTGGCGAGTCCGAATACCCACGGAAAATGTGCGGACTGTGCGGTTCGACAGACCAAAGCAATGTAACATGCCAAATGTGTCCTGGAATTTAATTAAACATTTTCTGCGCTTAGTCGTGTATACAGTTACCCCAAAGATTCCCTCTTCCTTGCTCTTCCTCTTCCTCTGCCTCTGCCTCAGCCTCGTACGCTTTCTCGTGCTGTCCCCGCCCACTGGCAGCCAGGGCGAACCAATGTCCCGTTAGCAATTCTTGCTGCAAGCGCCGGAGTGGGGCTGGGCCTGTCGAAAGGTCTGGTCCAGGCCAAGTTTCTGCTCTGATGTGGCCATTCGGCTTGTGGGCGGGGCTGAAGGTTATTGACATATTTTAACAACTATTTGCAAAAGGCTTTAGTTTCACTTCAATTCAATTCTCTTTTTCTCCCTGGCGCATAATTGAAAACAAGTGCATAATGTCTTCATACCGTTGGTCCTTGTGCGCTCTGTTTGTTTGCTGTCATGTTTAAATGTCCTCGCGGCATCAATATTTGCCATTTGCCATGTAAATACAGTTATTTAAATTACTTTACAAAGGGTCAAACTGTAACGGGAATCGGAAGCAACTTAATTAAGATTTAACCTTTTAACCCTCAGGGTGGTCATAGTTTCAACCCAGCTCGAAATTAAATTACTCTTTAGCTCCAATTTCAAACAGCTGATTGAGACACGAAAAGTATCGACAGCTTGCTCGTGCGGTGCAAACATTTGCACACACACGTACGCAAGCAAGCATGTGTATGTGTATATTGCGGCTGGCGAAGAAAATGGATCAGCAGTTGCCAAAACAACAGCTGCTGCGCTTATACGCTCTCTCACACTCTTTTGCGCTCTTTGCATAAATCACTTCCTAGGCGCAATACTCACACACACATTCATATATGTTTGTATTTGCATACGATTCTTCTTTCTTCTGTTTAGCACAAGCAAGTATAAGCACCGCGAATGCCAGCGCAAAGCGCACACCGCAAACGCTTGCACAAGCAACAAACGTTGCAGAGCATCATTTCATATTGTTGTTTTTGTTGCTTTCTCTCTCCGTGTCTTTCTCTGCGCTGACATTGGGTATGCTGCTGTTGCTCTCCACATTTTCCATTTTGCGCATGCAAGCTTGTGCTTTTGAGTGTTTAGTGCTGCGCGTGAGTTCGAGCCGCGGACAACTTTTGCTGTTGTTGTTGGATGTATATCCAAAAATGAACTCACGCGATCGACAGTTCTGGACGGAGTTTTTAGAGCTTTATCGTTCACTGCCGGCTGTGTGGAAGGTCAAGAGTCCGGAATACAGCAGCCGGGCTCTGAAATCTGCCGGCTACGAGCAGCTGGTGTTGAAGTTGCGCGAGGTGGAGCCGGATGCTGATCGCGCTGTCGTGGTTAAGAAGATCAACTCGTTTCGCACAAACTTTCGTCGTGATTTGCGCAAACGCGATCAATCCAGCGAGGAGGAGCCATTTGAATCGACGCTCTGGTACTTTGAGCTTCTGAGCTTTTTGGAGGGACAAGAGGAGAGCAGCTCCTGTCAAATCCTGCAAAAAGCTAATAGCCCAGACCTCGAAGTTTTGCCTGAAGTTTTGGTAATGAAGCTTTCTTTCTGCTCTAGCTGTCTCTAACGCGCGCTGTCTATACTCTTTCTCTCTCTCTCTCTCTCTCTCTTCTTTCTTTTTCTCCCCATCCGTAGCGTAAGAAACGTCGCTCTGCAGTCAAGGATGAATTTCCTGCTTCACCCGCAGACCATCAATTGCGTTCCACTGTGCACCTTCCCGCCTCTCCTCTCCGCTCTCCGACCAACAGGCAGCAGCGGAAGCGTTTGTCCACGCTCTCCGAATCTGAGGCCCTCGCTCATACCTGGCTTACTCAATTCGACGAGCTGGCGCCTAGACAGAAGCTGCTCGCTCGCAAACTCATCTCTGACGTCCTCTACTACGGCTGCATGCAGCAGCTGGAGCCCTGCCACGTCGCCCAACTGCAACGGATGATGATGCACCGAAAAAGCGAATCGCCACAGACGAATATGGAGAAATATGGCGAAAGCGAATTTGTGGATGAGGATAGTTAGCGAAGGTGTTTGCAGATTTAGAGCTATCGGTGAATATGACTATAAAAATAGCAGGTGATAAAGACAGTCTAAATGCTTTAAAATATATTCTAATTTATATAGAAAACCATGTTTACATATAGATGTATAGGGAAATTAAAGAGGGGAGCATAAAAATAGGGAGAAAAGCTCAAGTTTACATAAATAAACCCTAAATAACCCTTGTCTAATATTTGTTATTTGTTTTAAAAACCTTAGAAAATGACTAGAGAATGTCATCATCAAACGATTTTTCAGTAAATAAACTCATATCTCGTCTAGGAATCGTTTTTTCGACATATGTATATAAGTCAAGGTCTATCAAACATCTGTTGAAATGAATGAATTAATCTTTCGCAATCGGAAATTGTAGTCGTCAGAGCTTTCTGCTTGTCTGATAAGACGTTCGATTAGACCCCAGTTGGAAAACACAATACACAAACAAAAAGGCAACCTATATATATTTTTAATCTCAATAAAAATTCTAAACAATTGCCCAACAATGGGGCGAAGTACAACAGGAAATGAATAAATAAATAAATGAATGTGCTTGAAATGGAAAACAAATTAACAACGTTTATTGCCAACATTGAAAGTTGGTCAATTTGATTGGAAAACTTACCAACAAAATCCAATTGGAGTGCACGAGTGTGTGTGTCCCCTTCCCCACCTCCTAAATGACACTTTTGCTGAGATCTTTGCAAGGCAACAACAAAAAAATGCAAATTTATTGGCATTTAATTTGCAAGTAAGACAAAGAGAGGGAGAGAGACTGAAAGAGTGGGAGCGGAAGAGACTGCCCGCATACAGTTACGCTGTACTCGAAAATAAAAACCAGACTCAGACCCTCATAATGTGCACAAACTTTACAACAACATGAAGAGCGCAAAGAGGAGGTGGCGCAACCACAACAACAAATTCGGCATATAAACGAGCGCATAATGAGCTACGTAGAGCCTTCCGCAATGCTTTAGATGGATGGATGGATGAATGAATGGATGCGGACGAAACAAACTGGAGAGAACGAGATAGGGAGACAGTGTGCCCGAGTGAGAGTGGGAGTGAGGCAGCTTGAAAATAACATTAAATGCCTAAAAATAGTAGCTGCAAACGCTGTGCTCATATATTAAACAAGCCCAACCCTGACTACCCCACCTATTTACAGAGCCATAAGTAACAGCCCGTCGATGGTGCCTGCCTTTTTTATGCTCTCCCTGCATATCATGCAATTACTTTCCACTCAAATGTCAATTTAAATTGAAGTTTTATGCAAAAACCATACTTGAAACTTTGCGCCTGCTTTGCTTTTGCCTGCCTTTCCATGCTCTGTCTGCTTCGCCAGCTTGGAACGCTTCGAGAACAATACGCCGCCTGGCAACTCAATCTGACACAGCTCGTCCTCTGTCCCTCTCACACTCGTCTCGCACCAACTCTGCCCCTTTCCAAAATTTCAATCCCGCTCGCTCTTGTTCATTTCCGTTACAGGCTGCTTTGCTGCCTTACGATTGAGTCTCAGTCTCAGTCTCGGTCGCTGTCTCAGTCTCAATGTTGAGGGGGCTGCGCCTGTTCGTGTTTGTGTTCGGCTTTTTATGTGTTAGATGCACATTTCGGAAATTAAGTTGAAATTTATTAGCACATCTTTGTCGTCGAATTACATGGATTGGTTTTTTCGCAGCTCCAAGGCAATTTCGAACTCCAATGACTGGATGGCAACGAATTCTAAATTCACTTTTAGCTTTTGCTCAGAGTTTTGGCTGGGACTTCTACATGATAATTTTATTTTATTCTAAGGGTAGATAACATTTGAAACAATTTCTATTTTTATTTTTATGTTTTTTTTTAAAACTTAAAATTAACAATATATATATATATATATATATATATATATATGAATCATCTATTTATAAAATAAATGTTATATATTTTTCAACAATTTGTTTTCTTTTCCTCAGTATCGAAATAGAACTTTTGTCTCTGCTTTGCATTTTCATTCAATATTCCTAAGCATCCAGAATTGACAAAGAATATGCCCTATTTTATTGAGTGTAGCACAGCTTTAGCGCTGTATAATGTATCTGAAGGACCCTCAATGTGAGGATATACCCAATGCTATTTATTTGCACACCCATGTGTGTGCGGGTGTGTGTGTGAGCAGTCGATTTCCATTTGGTTGAGTATTAGTGCCTTCATATTACACAATTTCGAATCGCATCAAATCGTTAAAAGTTTCGATTACACAACGCGTTTTACAATTTCACACAGAATGCAGTGGGAGGGGCTGACGAGAAGACGAGAAGACGAGAAGACGAAGAGAAGCGAAAGCAACCACAACTAACAGAGTAAGAGAGGGAGATAGCAGGCAGCCCTCGCACCCGCTGCTTAAAACAAATATTGAAAGTGGCATTAAAAAAGAAGAAGGAGAAGAACGAGCAAACTTTTCGCTGATTTTATTGCCATGAATTTGCGCTCAAAATGGCAAATCAATGTGTTTCCTTTCAGCTAGTCAATTTAATGGTTGTATTGTTTCATATATATCCGTTGGAAGGATGCTCCAATACACTCCACTTGACAGGGAAAGACACGCCATGGGAGAGAGAAAAAGAGAGAGACATAAAAGTAAATGTTCCCTTCTTATGTAGATATAAAGCATATTATTTCAAGTGAATTCTGATATTATGAACTGCTTATGCTGTAATCAAAATGCTTGCGAATAGGGCACAAAGCAAACGAGGGGAAAGGAAAGGCAGCGCGAGAAAGAGAGGGAGATAGTTTATGTTTTATGTGCAAAATTTGATTTGAATAAGTGAGTTTTTTAATACTTTCTATAACTTTTACGTACTCTCTATTGACTAGGCCAGATTAGGCTCTACCCTAGCTATATCGAAACGGCTTTTCCATTAAGTTTTCCTCGTAATTTTTAATGCCAACGCTTTTAGCGCAACACGCTGATGAAATAAAATCCAAAAACAAAACAAAAGGAGCCAACAAACTATGCGTATAAACAATTTTTACTACTATGTATGCTAGCTCGCCCTCTCTACTTCTCCTACTCGCTCTTTCTCACCCTCTCTCTCTGCCTTTGCCAGGCACTGCATTGATTTTTTTGATATACCAAATTGAAATGAACAGAAAGGCTGCAACTGACTGCACAATACTCGTCCAAAGACAGACTTCACTCAAAAATCGAAATATAAAATTATAACTCTATCTAACATATGTAGTATATATAAAGTTTATATATAAAAGCAAATAAAAACTCAAATAGAGCAAACTTGATATGCAACATGGCAACAAATCTTAAGTCATTTTAGGACTAGGATTGGCGCGGCAATATCAAGCTAGACAAGCTCTACTCTAAAGCCAATATACTCGCTTGTAGCAGTGGAAGCAAGAAGTCGAGTACGCCCACTGTCACGCCCCTCTGGCAGTCAAAGGCACCTGCCCCACAGACAGAGCTTTCTGCAGCCAACCGCCCCGAGCACCCCTGCCCCACACAGTTGTTCAGATTTCTGTTGCTTTTGCTTTTATAGGAGCGTGTAATGTGATTTATAGCCGGTTCGGTCCTTAAAATAAATTCCTTTTAATGGTTTTTTATTGCCATCAGTAGTCGGCGTCAGCGTCAGCGTTAATGTTAATTAAACTATTGTAGTGCCTGTTCTACCATAAATTCAACGAAAAAAGAAAGAGACAGAGGCAGCCAGAGAGACGGGCAGAAAGAGAGAGAGAGAGAGAGAGATCAGAGTTGAACAATGTTACAATGTTCATGAATAAAATCGCCCAGTTGGCAATTTGAGGGTAATGAAAAAGGTATGAAAAAGGATTTGAATGGGAGGATTTGAAAGGGTGATAAATGTTTGCTATTGTTCGGAAATACTACGTGAGTTATAGGGAGTTATCTACACTCTATCTACGAAAAAAAGGTTTTTGATTATTCTTAAATTTGCTTTTTGATAAAAGGTATAAAAAATAGAATTTTAATTTGAGTTAAGGATTTAAATAAGAGTTGAACTTGAGTGGGAACCGAATGCAGATAAATGTTTTTGTTATTGTTCAGGAATATGTGGTGTCACCTAGACTCTATATATGGAATATTCCCTAGACTCTATATATCTAAAATGGCAGCTCTCTTGGGGAATATCGTAGTAGTCCAAGTCTAGTTCAAGCTGAATAGAATTAGAATTTTGATTCATGTCAACTACAGTGAAGCTTCTACTATACTAATAAAATCAGATTAATAAAATAATACGTGTTAAAGCCTTATCAGAGTTCAGCTCTAAAGCCAGTAGATTAAAGCCAACTTCACACACGATCAAGATGAGAGATTGCCCTGAGTTGGTATTAATCTTCGTGTGAGCTTTGGCCAAAGCCACATCCCTTTTCCTTTGAGGTTTGGGGGCGTCACGTAGGATGCGTTCCCGCTTGAGCTGGCATTGCTGACTGCCCAGATTGTTGAGCAGCTTATTAAAGTCATATTAGTCAGTTTGTCAGGCCTGGTAGCTGTTTGGGGTCTATGATGTGTTGATATACAGTCGCATTTGTGGTATTTCCCAGTTGGATGCTGGACCCAGCTCCCAGCTCCCAGCTTCACTTCTAATTTTATTCCATTTATAAATATTTCTGAGTGGCCGGGAGGGGTTGGGGGCTACACTGGGAGCCGTTTTCTGCTCGTTCATGATAATTGCGGTTCTGCCGCTCAGGCTCCAGCTGCGTTTAATGGCTTTTCACAATTTAAGCAAGTCCCATTTTCTATTTTATATTTTATTTTATATTTTTTTTTTTATATTTTTGGTTTTCAAATTGTTTCCTCCTCTCTCTTGCAGGCTGTTTCTGTTGATTCTCTTATTTTTTCTGCTGTTACTTTTTGCCTTGTTTATTTCGGCATTTACTTTTTATGAAAATCTTTTTGGGAAATGATTATTAATAATATAGTCGAGCCGGAATGTTAATGGCAAAGGGACAGGTAAACATGGCAGCCTAGGGATTACCTTTACGTACACTATAATATATAGAAATTTCATTAAATTAATGCGAATGTGGAAAGTAGTTAAGACTTAAGCTAGGGATTGCCTCTTAGTATGCGTTATATTCAAATTTAATTACAATAATGGAAGTGTGGGAAGTATGCAAATATATCAGGCTGGGATTGGGATTGCCTTGTGATATATTTTAATTACAATAATATTTTACTCTTTTGTCTCTTTGATTTATGTCAGGTAAACATGGCAATTTGATAGTATAACTAACTTACATAATACTAAGACTATATAGCAATTTAAAGATAACTAGACGTATAAATAATTTAATGTAAATATTATTTCTATTTTATAATAATATATTTATTTTGTAAATTACTATGTTTGACTTTTAATAATATATAAGCAAAGAAAAGTAGCAAAAAAATATTTTTGACAATTTTTTAGAATTTCAACAAAAAAATTTGTTTAAAAAATATTTTATATATTTAAAATTTTTTGAATATATTTTACTTTTTAATACATATTGTAAAAATAAAAATATTTAATTAATTGTTTGATGCATACTGACCCTAATTTTTTATATTGTTGTATATATATTGTTGGCATTTTATAAAATATTTAATTTGAATTATTGGAAAATATTTTTATTTTGAAAAAAGTTTTTATTTTTTGTAGCTTAAAATTATCTGCATCTATCTTTTCTTTAACTAACGAAAAATTATTTTTTTTTATAATTTTTTTAAGTTTCGAAGTAAAAAAAAAATAAAAATATTAATTGTTCGTTTATATTTTTAATATAAAAAATGTAAATAAAACAAAATAAATTTGAATAAATTAAAAAATTTTAAATTTCAACAATATATATTTAAATAAAACCAAATAAATCAAATTTATTTTGAATGCAAGAAAATGTAACATAAAAACATAATATTATTAAAATAAGCAATTGAAAATTTATGTGGCTTAAAAATTATGAAATTTCGATTTACTTAAAAAAAAATTAAATAAAATTTACATAGTGCTATTTAGTTGATCTTGAAATACTAATCATATAAATATTTAAATTATATATATGTATATATATATATATATATATATATATATATATATATATATATATATATTTAAATTATATATATATATATATACATTTATATTATATATACATTAATATTTGAAAC